AAAAGTACTAGGCACATACAAAGAATGAACAGAATCGGTCCAAGGGATTCTGAGATATGACTCCGGACAGACGCACACCGAATTATAAGTCCCCGTTTTCGGACTTCGTCCGAACGGGGACTAATTAAGTAATGGATTTACAGGGGGACGAATGGTACCTTTCTCTCATGTTATCCCTAAAACTGGACTTCAAGCTCTGTAATTGTGCACTAAGTTTTTTGATCGGTGTAATAAACAAATGAAAGTAAAATAGGTAAAATCCAGGTGATAACATTTCCTATATTAGCCTCTTTTTTTATGTTTTCAAAATCAACATAATGAACAGCTCTTATTTATATTTAAAAAATGTTTGCTTTTATCATGATTTTTCATGGAAATTGAATATTTAACTTCTTTTCCTTCTGAAATCCAGACAAAAAACCGTAAAAGAAAGCAGCGCACAATGAACAGAAGCATGAATATTTTTTTAAGACTTTCACCTATATACAATTGTAGAACTTTATCGATAATGGAGCAGTACGAGCTAGGAATATTTGTGATAGGACACTCACCAAACTGCTGTATTGCTCTGTCCGCACTCCATGGCAATTCTAACGTAATGTGAACACGTCTTCTCTGGTTCCGAACTCTTCTGTCGGCTTGTAATGAGATACCTGAGCTGGCAGCTTCTGAAATTATTGCTATGTGCTGCAAGACAGATCAAACATGGTATTACTACTTGCAGTGAATGTTTTAATATCATAATTTAATGATTTGGGGTGTGTGTGGGGAAGGAAATTTGGAAAAGATATTGCAAGGTCCAGCCTTAACACTTTGAGCATCAAAGCCAACTTGTCACCATTCACCATTTTTTAACCCTCAAATTTATTCATAATTTTACTAACATTTTGATCAAGAATTGTAGCCAATACAAAATTATATCCATTCGGCCTAAAATTATCAACAACAAAAAATTGAAAAATATATAAAATAAACAAGCAAAATGTCACATAAAAAATAATGGCACTCAAAGGGTGAAAGTATAGTTAAAATATTCATTTCAATTGGGGCAAAACATTTATCATAATTTTTTGTTTCAAATGTGTGACAGTTATTGATTGTGACACATTAATTTTTCAGGATTTTTAATCCAGTGAGAAATATTTGATTAAAGAAAAACTGCTAAAATTTAAATAAAAATCAACTTGACTCACTTTTTCCCCATCCATAAACCTCTTCTTTTCTGTGAGATTGAGGACTTCTAATGGTACGTCTGTTTCACATCTTGACTCGTACGTCACAGTACCATCATCATTGCTAACAACACGACCTTTGCGGCCAGTCATCTGAAATACAAAAAAAAAAATTTGTTCATTGTGAGATCATCAATGTAAACATGACTGGAGTCCAGGAAGACAGAATCCAATGAAAATGAGATTCTATAAAAACTAAGTCAAAATAGTGATATTTGGTTTTTGTAATTCCCAAGAACTGGAGTCATATTTTCACAATTATTAAATTTGCCAACATTTCCATTTTACACAACTCTATATACCAACTTTAGGTTATTAGTAGTGTAAATGAACCACCAATTGATTTTGATATTTAACACACCATTAAAATACGACATATTTTGACCATAAACACCTCAGTCATTTACGCAAACACATCAACTATCAATTACATATAAGCCATTACAATTGTATTTATTTTATAGTCAACCATTAAAATATGATTTATTTTAACCATAAACACACCCTCTATTTACATAAATGTGCTACTAACAGAGAAAATGCAGTAAATTTGAAAAAAAAGTCATTTTTAATGACATAGTCCCTGTTGGAATTAAGTGAAATGTTATTCATGCCAAAAATAAAGTAATATGAACCATTAGCATTGTTAGTAATTGAGAGTGAATTATGAATCATCATGGACATGTATCTTAACATGTACAATATTTGTATCAAATTTGAATTTTCAAAAAAAAAACAAGATGGATTCTAGTCAGCCATCTCTGATCTGATTATGGAACAAACCAACATGAATTCCTATATGTATGATGTACCGGTATGTACCAAATATGAAAATGTTATACATGTAGTAGTATTGTTAAAAAGCAGATCTTTGATCTGATTGTAAAACAAACTGTCATGAACATGTAATCTAAAATGTACATTGTATGTATAAAATTTGAAAAAAACTGACAAAGCATGCATAAGATACATTTTCAAAAAACAAAATGGCTGCCAGTTAGCCATCTTGGATTTAATCAGTAAACCACTGCATGTGCACATGTCCCAGATAAAGTACTAGGCACATCATCAGAAAAATGTTAAAGAATGGGAAGGCATCTGGAGTTGATTCAATTACAGCAGAACTCCTTAAAGCAGATATTGAACTTGCAACAGACAAAGTTCAACAGCTTATTGATAAGATATGGAAAGAAGAGAGAATACCTATGAAATGGAAGCAAGGTTTGATAATAAAACTACCCAAGAAAGGAAATCTCAAACAGTGTAAGAATTGGAGAGGAATAACACTACTACCTATTGTAAGCAAAGTCCTGAGCCGAGTCATCATAGACAGAATAAAGAACGGAGTTGATAAAAGTCTCAGAAATGAGCAGGCTGGATTTCGGAAGGGAAAAGGCACAACAGAACAAATATTCATTTTACGTAATATTATTGAACAGGTCAACGATTGGCAAGCAACACTACCGGTACACGTTAATTTCATTGACTTCGAAAAAGCATTCGATTCTGTGCACCGAGAC